GGGCTGTGATGTTGTAGTCGGCTTGTCCTTTGCGCGCATCAGGAGCGTCTCCGTCTTCTTCTCCGACACCGTTAGCCCGAACTCCCCGAACACCTCAACGATGATGGTCATCATTCTCGCCAGTCCTTCTGCAGACCTCGATACGACGCCGGCATCATCGGCATACAGCATCCCCCATACTGCCCTCCGTGCTCGGTCAAGGGGTGTCTCCTACCCCCCCCCGCTTCCGTCTTCCCCTCCTCCAAGCACACCAGGCTCCGCAGAACAACATCATCCTCGCTGAATCGGATGACAACGACCTCGAGGACCTCGGCGAAGCAGATGTTGAACAGCAGTGGGGATAGCACACATCCTTGTCGCACGCCCTGTGTCACGAAGAACCAGTCCGATAGTTCTCCGTCGTCCATGCGCACCCGGGCCCGCATTCCATCGTGGAATTGGCGGATGACTTCGATCAGCTTCGTGGGAATCCCGGCCCTGGCCAGCACCTTCCATAGCATCTCTCGGTCCACCGAATCATACGCCTTGTTCAAGTCGACGAAGCACATGTAGAGCGGTATTTTCTTTCTCCGCCCCAGCTCCCGTATGCCTATGCGAATACCGAATGCATCGTCATACTGCACCTTGATGAGGATTGGAACTTGGAACATGCCATGACTTTGTTGTTGTAGGCAAACAAAGCCGCCGCCGCAGCAGCAGCAGCAGTGTTACTCTCACAGTCAGTCGCCAACCAACAATCGAAATTTCCCGCTCAGGACCCGCCCAGAACCGTCTCTTTGTCTCCATCCGTACATTGCATTTTGTGAACAGCAGTGAACAATGGTTTCTGTCTGTTCGCCGGTCTGTCTCGTGGTAACGACAACTAACTGTCGGATGCAAAATGATGTTAGGAGGCTTTTCACCAAAATAAATGCGGCGTAATCGCCGTACAACTGCCCTGACATGAGATACCACACCTCCTCAACCGATTTTCAAAGGTCGACTACTTCACGACGATGAGGATGACAACGTCGAAGTCTTTTGCTTTCGGAACGATCTCGACGGTCCCAATGCCGCCGTGTTCGGCATCACCACTCTTGCGACTGCGGAATAATCGACATTTGAAAATCGGTCCTGGGGGTGTGGTATATTGTGTCAGAATCATGGTGGCCAATGTACTTACTTTTTTTTCAGAGGGGGGTGAGGTCCCGCCGCCTCGGTGCCTGTGGGGCGGTACAGTCGACCCCTCTTTAAGGACGCACATGGTTTTTCCTGAAAAGATTCCATTGTTAATCTGTCTATGACTCTTTTCTATGATGGAGATGTACTCGTTGTGTCATATTAAGAAAAAAAAAAAACGTCATTAAGCGGAGAGTTTCCTAACGCGAGCGTCCTTAAAGCGGGGTCGACTAAGTATGTGTGCATACCTGTCTGCTCATCACGAGCTGCGAGGCTGGTATGTGTGTGCGGCTAGACTTGCCCCCTTCGTCAAGACCGGACATAACAGCAACGGCACCACACCTGTGACCCCAGCGACACACGCCAGGGAGCCCACGTTTCACCTTCGGTCTTCTTCCAGGGCATCAGCCTGGACTAATCTTCCTCTCCGTTCAAATCTCTGATTCTACTACCATCACGGCATCCGGGAGAGAAAAGACTGGACTTCGTTTTACAGTTGTCACGCTCAAAAGAAAGGTTTGTCATTGGTCGTCCATCTACACATCTCCATTCGACCTTCATCCGCCGTTTCAGAAAGAAAGGCGAGACAGGGATGAAGATCACCGCCCTCCTCGCATTCCTCGTGGGACTGGTGCGGATGTACGCCAAATCTCTGGAACTCAGCGATTTCACCGTCTTGGACGGCCACGGAAATCCGTATCCCTTAGCAACCCTCAGACATGTTCCGGTGAGTTGTGAACGGCACTCCTCGTTGGTGTGTTGTTTATGTTGTTGTCTTTACATTAAAACCCGTTCCGATCTCTCTCTACCCAGTACCTTCGTGTGTCCGTACTGATCCAACACTCGACGCGGTCGATTCCCGTGGTCACAGGTGAACTTACCCTAAAGGTATACTCAAATAAACTGGCCCCGAGGGATTTGCAAGTCAATAGAAATCAACGACAGATATCCTGGAGTCCTCCACTCCCGCTGCGCGCTATGCGAGGTAAAAACTGAGACTAGGGGTCACTATCGCAGGCCGGAGAGAATGAGGTACACCTCCTTGGTGCAGAAGACGGATCACCTACAGCAGCAGCATTGTACACATGCATAATCCGCCGTAACTTCTGGTTTGGCTATCAATGAGTTACGCCTATTGTGTCTGCGTGTTCATCCGAAAGCCTGATATAAACTCTTTGACTTGCGTTGCGCCCATCCATGCTGCCGGACAAATCCGACCCGGGAAGGTGTGTGTGACTTGAGCTCATCATGTATACCACGCGCGCAGCGCGTTGGTTCATCGGTTGCCGAGCCCAAGGCCGCTCGTCGAGCCACTCTGTCATCCTGCTACTCTTTTTCTTCCTTTGGTATAGACCTGGATGTTGTTGTTGTTGTTGTCGTTGTTTCTCACATTAGATGTAATCGTGCACCGATACCGGTACTCTCTGGTAGGCATACAACACACATCCAGCAGAACTTATTCCCTCGATCACTGCTGCTGCTGCAAACGGCCGTGACTGCGCGTAGGGTCGGCATGCAGGTACAGCCAGGAGATGTAGTCGCTTGCTTGCTGTCGCGGTCGTTGGCTCTCTCCAATGCTTCGTGTTGGTCTGTTGACGTCAGCCTTCTCTGCTGGGGCGGCGATACATTGCCAAAGGCAGCAGCGAACCCGTGTGTTCGGCACTTGAAAAACCAGGCATGCATCTGACATGCCATACATTAGTAGTAGGGTGACATCTACATGTACCGTATAAACTAGAAGTACATCCTCTGTACAGTAACAGGTTGGGCCTAATCGTCGCATGCAACGGCCACCGGTGATATGCAGGAGTTGAATGTTTGCAATCTATCGTGTCGCTTGCGGGCCTAGCTCACGGGGTAAATTTTTTTCTGCTCCAATTTTCTGGCTGTGGGTGCCGACATGTAGAACTGCTGTTGTACATGCAACACTGTAACCGGTCGCCCCGGTGGTCTAGTGGGTAGCCTCGCAGCCTGCTAAGGGCCAGGTCATGGGTTCGAGTCCCGGCAGAGAGAGTTTTTTTCTCACTTAATAAATCCTGGTCTAGGATGAAAGCGACGCGCTGCAAAGCTCGTTTGTTAGTAAACCATAATCGACTTCGTAAGTCGCGAGGGAAGGGATTGCTGTACCCTTCTCGCGATAAAAATACCTCAGGCATGAACCGCAGGACGGGGTCCAACCCCCCCCTCCTATGTGACCCCGGTTGGGTCGTCTAGCTAGTAGAAGTGGAGGATAGGGGCCAGAGGGGCAGACGACAGAGTCCAATGATGGGAGAAAAACAAACAAAAAAAAAAAAAACTGTCCCCCACCCGCCCCCGGAAGTAGTGATGCCAACAGCTGTGGGGTTTTCTAAACATTGGCTCTGCTCCCAAACGTAAACCTTCCTCGACGGCAAATCCGTGGCTTGCATGGTGTGCTCAAACGAATATACTTGACATGAGAAGAGGTACCTCCATGTTTTCATTTTCTGTCACGGTTTCGGAACAAGACCATGGGTGGTATTGGATTGATTGTCGTCAAGATTTCGAGTGGAGTGTGCATTCTTTTGTAAGCAGGTTGAACTCGAGCTTCCCCGGGAACGCCGTTCGTGTGAAGTGGGCACAGATCATATCCCTGAATAGATCACCTCTTGTTCAGTAACATGCAGCAGCATTCCATGATTACCAGCACTCGATGCTCCTCCGAAAACGTCAGCGGCAGCGGCAGAGCGGCGACGTGTCCGCTGGTCACCATTTCCTGACTGCCGGTAGGCGGACGGACCTCTCAAATCTTCCCGCAGTTCGGAAATTCTCTGCATTATTTGTGTAACCGCTCGGAACATCGGACCCACACAAGATAGCATTGCATGATCAGCAAGCACATACTTCGTCCGTACTTCGGTGGGCTGGCTCCCTGAGCGACGACTTGGCATCTATCAGGTTGCTGTAACAACTCTATTTCATGTGAAGACATGTAGACGGCAACAACAATATAACAACAACTCTTGCCAGATTGAACGGCAAGTTGCGGGTGTGACACACGGGTTTTGGATCTGTCGTCATGTTGACGACGGACGAACAGAAACACGGTGTCCTTATAGTAAGCGCCTCAGCTTCAGCAGCAGTAGCAGCAGCGGTGGCCGCACGACCAAAAAGATGTTGTCGCGCTGCCTCCCGTTGATCTGTCGGTCTCTCCCTCCCCACCAGCTGTGTTTGGTGTATGTTACATGGTTGATGCACCCGCCCTTGCTTCGTTTCCGAATTAGTTAAGGAGTAGTTTCCGCCTCCCGCCTCCACCACCGACCATCGAAGCCGCGGGACAGAAATACGCCCAGACGACCGAGTTCCGGTGCCTCGGTGGCCTCGCCAACGAACATGGCGACCTCACCCGGGAGATCAACTACAGGAGCAGAGGAGCGCGGGCGTGCCTCAGGCGATATGGCCGGGAGCTCTTCGACAGACCACAAGCGCCATTCCGACTCAAGATCCGCCTGCTCCAGGCGGAGGCGATGGAGGCACTGGTGTACGGTTCCATGACATGGTCACCACTCAGCGGCCGCTATCAGACGCTGCGGTCGATACACCACCGACTGCTCCTTCGAGTTATCGGGTACAAGCGCAAGAAAGACACCTACCAGCAGCTCTCGTACGCCCAGACGCTGAAGAGGGTCGAATGCCAGAGCGTTGAAGCCACGATCCGACAACGACGCCTACTGTTCGCGGGAGCATTGGCAAGGCAGCCGGACGGGCGACTCCCGAAACGACTGATGTTCGGCGAACTGGCAGGGGGGGAGAAGCGACGTAGGGGGGGACAGGAACAGAACTGGCCGAAGTGTGTGCTCGACGACCTGAAGGCATTCGGGGCCGACCACGGATCTACGAAAACCGATCCATGTTGTCTCGGGATCCCGGTACCGAAAAACACAGCACCGACGTTAATGTGGGCGGAAGCCGCGAAGGTAGAGGGGGGAGTACCCTGGCATGCGGCGGTGCTGCAGGGAGCTGAGAGGTTCATGACCTCCAGCCGTTAACGGGCGGTCAAACGAAACCACAAGCCACCAACCAATGGGGCGGGTGGGGGGCAGGAGACGGACGAGACGGCGAGGGAAGAAAGCAAACGAGAAGAGAC